TATAGATATCAAAGAATGTGAGGGGAATTATTTGATTTTTCTTTCTTTCTTTCTTTCTTTCTCTTAAATGCTACTTTTCGATGCGCTACTAAATTCGGAATGTTATTATTACGCGCGTGTGCCGATATATTTTATTATATTATTTATAATAACACGGACGATTCTTATGGGACGATAAGATTCTAAACGTAATTATTTTCTTCTACTTAAACTCTCCATCTCTTTCTTCCCCTTTCTTCATTTTAATTAATAATTATTTTAACCGCTTAACTCCTGTTTTCTTTCTACGTAAATTATCGACGCTTTGAAGAAAAGAAAAAAAAAAAGAAAAAGAAAAAAAAAAGAAAAGAAAATGAAAAATCCGCGAAATGAAAAAATTGCATGTACATACTTACATATCTATCGTAAAATAATAATAATAATAATAATAATATATAATGTTAAATTCGATTTTTAGGAATCTCGAAAAAAAAAAAAAAACAAACATATTGAACAAATCAAAATATCCAAAATAAAACGAAATTTGGAATAATAGTAATATTAATAATAATAATAATAATAATAACAATAATAACAACAACATAAACGATACGTAATAACGGTATTACGTATACACGTAGAAATAGGTAGCAATAATAATAGTAATAGTAGTAGTTAATAGTAATAGTAATATAATACGAGTAATAATAATAATTGGAATATTGTTTCGCTGTCTTTCTTTTCTTTTTCTTTTTCTTTTTCTTTTTCTTTTTCTTTTTCTTTAAAGTTATCGCTCACAGAGAGAGAGACTAGTAAAAATTTGCGTACTAAATACAATTTACAGAGAAAGAACGGAAGTGGGAAACAAAAATTCATATATATTTTGTTTTTTTTTTTTTTTTTTTTTTTTTTTTTCAATCTAACGAGAGAATACGGTCCTAAACGGGAGACGACGATTTTTAAATAATATTTTGAAATAGAATAATCATTATTGTCGTGGCAATGGCGGTCACGGTGAGCTTGGAAGTATCCCCACCACCAGGTGATAATATTGTGTAGTCCACAACGGTGTCTGTAGATTCTGAATGATAAAAAGCGTCTCTTGTAAAAAGGTATGATTCCATTTTTTTATTTCCTTTCTCTTATCGTCGAGGATCTTATTACGTATCAATTGTTATCATTTTTATAATATTTTTATCATTTGATTTTTTTTTAAATTTGAATTTAAATTTTAATTTTAATCTTGTTTATCTAACACACTAACTACTACGGGGAATAACCAACGGGAATCGGACATATAAGAAAAACTAGAACTAGATAATAATAAAATTTAAGATGCATTTTTCTACGCGAGGGACGAAGGGTAAACAAAATTGTTTCATTAAAATCATCATTCTCTTGCAAATAACATTCGAAACGGAAGGGGGAAAAAAATAGAATAAAATAAATAAATAAATAATTAAACATGACTTTATAGAAATTGTGACAATGCAACATGGTCGCGCCCTTCTCCCTGTTCATTTCTGTTATATAAATATTTATATATATGTATATATATTGTATATAGAAGAAACAAAGGTAAAAGTACGATTATTATATATAGTTAACATAAGAAAATAAATGATGTATATATATATAGATATATATAGATATAATATATGTTAATTAGTGTGCAAGAGCATTGTGCATTGGTTTCTCTAATAGATTAATATATTTTGAAAAGTGATAAAACTGAGATAACACATTCAGTAATAATAGTAAGTAAACTATAGTAGTAGTAGTAGTAGTAGTAGTAATAGTAGTAATAAGTAGTAACAATATAATAAACTATATTGAATATAAAAATGCATCCTTACAAGAAGTCTATCGAATGTATTTTGGAGAAAAACAAAAAAAAAATAATAAAAAGATAAATATAAATATATAAATAAATAAAGATATATATAGAGAGAAAGAAACAAAAAAACCGCAAAGGGGGTGCGATCTGTGAAGAATAAAAAAAGAAAAAAAAAAAAGGAATGATTAGGTGAAAAAGAAGAAAAACTTACCCCTGGAAGTCTTGAATTTTGCAACACCAGGCTTGCTCAATCCTATGATATTCTGTGCCCTCACTTCAACGACGTAAAAAGTGTCAGAATGTATATCCGGTATCCAACATTTCGTCCTACCGGCACCCTTAATGTCTAATGTTTTGCAGGTATCCTCTTCGGTTTGCCATTCGCCAGTTACTCGTTTGACTTGACAGTATTTGACAATATATTTTTCTATGGGTTCACCATTATCTACTGGGACAGTCCAGAAAAGTTCGTACTGATTGCTGAACGTTGATACATCGTATCCATTGGGTTCGAGTTTATTCGTGATGATCTTTGGTGCAGTAGGTACTGTCCTTACTGGGGTTGTTTCACGATAAAAACCACCCCAATTGCCTTGGCCGACTTTGTTTATAGCAGCGAATCGAAAATCGTACGGTGTTTGCGGTTTTAAACCTTCGAGTACGTAAATGGAATCTGTAAAAAAAAAAGAAAAAAGAAAGAAATGAAAAATATTCCTCCTCTTCCACCGTTGTGAACAAAAATTTGTGAGAAGATTATTATTAAAAATTTTTTTCCGTAGAAAGTAACAATTTCGATTAGCTTTTTACTTTTGCGTGTAATCACGAGAGTATAGTATTGATATACCGATTAATTATTCAATAAATAATCATTAACAGATTACAAGAGATGTTTTACTGTAATTATTAGCTTGTTTTATATAATTATAGAAATTTTTTATATTAATATAACGTACATATATATTCATTTATAATAATTATTATTAGATATTAATAAAACACTTTAAAATGTAATACACCGGACGGGTTATATTTGAATTAATCGGTTTTGCAAATGTGATGGTTCACACGTTACCACGTGATATCGTTCTTTCGCAAAAGATAAAAGCTAGATTTTTTCGTTAGAGATAAAATAAAAAATATACGAATAAAGTATATACAAAATAAAAAAAAAAAAAAAACGAAAAGAAAAAAAGTACAATAAAATGAAATTGAAAGAAACTCACTTATCGACCAAGTTCTATTCCTAGCATCGGCCCAAGTCTGCGTTTCTTCTTTGTATTGAACGATAACACTTTTGATAGGTAAATCCCTATGAGCGTACGGTAATACGAAATCGAATTTAATGGTGGTAGCAGTTTTTTCGGCCACCTTAACTTGTGTTAATTCACCGGGTTTAGTAGCTTGTTTTAATTCTATCTTATGTACTCGGGTGCCATGGGAATTAGCAGCAATGCATTTGTAAGTAGTATAATATCTGCCGTCAAGGGGTATGATCATGAGCGTGGAAATAGGCCCGTTGCCGAGTTGTTTGATTTCTGGTACATCCTCGATCTTTCTATCGGCACCCATTGTCCAAGTAATCGTTGCGTTTGGTATACTTTCGGCAATGCAAGTCAAATTAACAGGTCTGCTGTCCCATGACCACGTCGTATTGTTTTCCATGTATGCGAAAGTCGGTGGAAATTCAACGGTCACGTGACCATTTTTGTATGCCTTACCGCCAGCATTTTCAGCAACGCATTCGTAAAGACCATCGTTGGATCTAAATACGTCTCTTATGTTCAAAATACCAACAGTCTCGCCGGTTACTTCGTCGGGTTTATTGATCAAAACTATCCTGTCGTCATCCACTTGGGCACCTAATACGTATGCCTTTTCGGCTGTATGTTTCCTCAAGGTCACTTTAGGAGGTGGCCTACCAAATGCTTTGCACTTGACGTCCACCTCTTTACCCTGTATCACTGTTATATTTGGAAATTCCATGATTTTTGGTTTGACGATGACGTTAACGACTATGTTCGTTGTTGCCGAATCTGCTGCATTTGTAGCAGTGCACTCGTACTCTCCTGCATCTTCGCGATTTACATTGGTTATTGTCAAGTCACCGGTATCTGGATTAACGGTAAACCGATCGGTAGATGATAGATTTTGTTTGGTCAATGATTGAATCCAGGAAAACCTTGGGGGTGGTTTGCCTTTAGCTTTGCACTCGATTTTTTGATTTTCACCTTCGATTATATCGACCGGTGTCGATCTTTCTTCGATGGTTGGCCGTATGTGTACCTGGTGGTGGTGATGGTTAAATAATATACTTTTTTTTTTATTCATTATAACTTTAGTTATAAATAATTAAACTAAATGGTTACTATACACAAAAGGGAGAAAAAAATATATTTCAAATGATATAAATTGTTTAAATTTTGTAACCCAAACACATTATTGTTATTATACTTTACTCGACCAACAAATGAAATATTATTTTCTATTAAGAAAAATTATAGAAATTATTCTAATTGTCGATGATATTTTTTACTGACTACTCGTTTTTTCTTCTACTACACGTTAAGATTTTTTGTTTTGTTTTCTTCACTATAATTCACGAGATTTGTACAATATATTATATTGTATAAATATATACCTCGACGCGTATTGGTCGTTCCTTAAGTTCGCCAGTAGTCAGGACAGATGCACGACAAGTATAAATACCGTCATCCGATTCTTGAACATTTTTTATTTTTAAAGCATGAGTGTCGATGATGTAACGATCATTCGTCTTGACCAATTCTCCGTTGTAAAGCCAATCAACCGATGGCGAAGGCCTGGCACGTACTTTGCAAAGTATAGCAAAATCTTTTCCAAGAACTGGATATTGATTTTCTGGTGCGTTGTCAAAGGTTATTGCAACTGTGACAAATAAATATTAATACACGTATAATATATATATATTGTCATCGATCGTTTACGATTTGTTCTAATAATAATAATAATAATAATAATAATGATTATTAATTGTTTTTTCTTTGAATTATTTAATATGTTAATAAGAAACATTGTTAGTAAGATTCATACAACAACAAGATTATCTTGGTTTGTAATTGACAAATTTTTAAAAATTATTTTCCATGTCTTATACAAATAATTTAGAATTATTTTTTGTTGTTACTTGTAATTATTATTATTATTATTATTATTATTATTATTTCATACGTATTAATCGTTTTAATGTATAATATTATATTTAACAAATATAACCTTTTTTTAATTCTTAATTATAAATATACCCCTGTGTATATATATTATTAATATTAGAATAATGAAATAATCCTCTTACCGATAGTATCGATCGTGACGGATTTGTTCAAAGGCACCGAATTCGCATAAGTTCCCTTGCATGTATATTTCCCAGCTTGTTCCTCTTGAAGAGAATAGAAGAACAGGGAAAGACTATTGTCCTGATGCAATTCCGTATACATGGCCGGTTTCGAATGACCGTGTACGAGTGGTGACGTGCTGTGAAAAATAATTATATTCTAATGTTAGTCGATTTTAAAAAAAAGAAAAAATAAATAAACAGAAAAAGAAAAAGGGATAAACACGATTTGTCAACGAACAAAATATTAGACATACCGGACAAAATTTGTACTCGCGCGTTTTTTGAAATTAAAATAAAATCAAATCAAACAATATGTTTTCAATACAACGAATGTTATTAAATACTGAAAAACATCGTGGTGTGTTTGATATCACATATGTAAAAATACATTGTTTTTTTTTTTTTTTTTTTTTTTTTTTTTT